GTAACAACAGCATGCAAGGATATTAAAACTAGCTTACACCTGTTCYGTGCATGTCATCTCACAATTACCTTTATTAAAATTCCTTTAAAAGTATTTTCCAAAACAGATGGAAACTATCACAGAGGTTTTAAAACCTAACAATCCAGTCTCCATGAAGACTCTGGGAAGAAACCAGCTCTCCTACAATATTCATATGCCATCAACTCCTCCGTCATTGCAGAATGTTGCTTCAGTTTCTCCTACTAAAAGGAACTGTCATCACAAGCTGTTTAAGGTAATAACAGCAGGCCTGTGCAGAAGCTGAGCCAGGCCTTGCTTTAGCAGTAGCATACAGGGCACAAGGAAATACTCACAGCTTCAGCCATGCAGGACTCTTTCATTAGCTCACAGCATTCCCCAAGCCATGATCAGATAGGATCAATAACACCTTCTGATAAAGTCACAATGCGTACTTCATATATTGTATGGAAAGTCCGAAGAATTTCTCCTCTGAAGGGCACCAACCTCAGCATGCCCTTGGAGAACARCTTCCTGAATTTTAAAAAGTGATTGAAGTATGGTACCCTTTCCTCYCCAAAAAGRCAGTGGGAAAGGAAGCTTTAAATGRATTMAAGTGAAGAAAWTACCATRTAACRAAGTAGCTAATAGCAGATTAATTTTMATAGGATATTCCAGGGGAGTAGAGAAGAGCAGCCACTATTCTAAGACTAAACAGGGTGGGTTTTGCTCAGGACGCTACTGAAACCAGGCAAGACCCASAGTGCACAACCATCACACCAACAGTGAGGCAATGACTGACACAAGCACAGCGAGGTTTCTCAGAATTTCACAGTCACACTAATAAATACATTATTGAAGCAATTTTCTGTGCTGTCCTCTTCATCCTCCTCAGAGTTACAGAGCCTGTGACTGCATCCCCATGGCAAGGGCAGCAGAAACACAGTGCAAGCAGCTGTAATTTTCTATGTATTTWATGTGCACACTGATGTAATTCAACAGCTGAGAGAGCAAAAGTGACCAGAACCAACCAGCAGGCAGCACATGCAACTGATCAAAAAAGTAGCAAAGTTCTCGCATTTAGTAACTAYTGGATGTGAGTAACAGTTCTCACTGTTCCTACTACTCGTCTCCCTCCTCTCTAGATTAAAATAAAAAAGGAACATTTCCTTTCCCATTTTTGCCCAATTTCTACATTTTTTCAGAGAAAAAAAGAATGGCATCTAAACTAGCTTTATTCAATTAAAGAAAAAATATGTTTAAAATTATTTTGAAGGATTTGTTTTAGAGGATTCAAGTTTTAAAACCCTCCTTCCTAGGCATGCCAGCATCACAAATAGCTATTTAACGCTACACATATCAGAACTCAAGCATAAAACCCACAGAAATATAAAATAGTGTCTGCATGCCCTTGATTCTACATCACTCCACCATGCCTCTGGGAAAAGTTAACAAGTGCTACCAGCTGTTAAAAAAAAAAAAAAAAAAAAGGAAAAGAAAGTCTTCCTTAGGCCAAGCTGTTGTCAAACTCCCTCAAAGTGCTAATGAAACTGTGCCTGATTAAAGATTGCAAAACCATGCTTTTCTCAGAATTAATGCAACATGCCTGATCTTATTTTGTCATTCTAAGAGCCATGCCAGCAGGAGCACAAGTACCATTGTCAACAGCTTATCACAAAACYTAATGTATATGGGAAATATTCACAYTCCAGACAACACAGAGTGGCAAAAAATAACTTTTAATAGGCAATCACCTACTGGATTAGTATGTCAATAGTTTTTACATGATGTCAAGAGCATTGAACTTTGAAAAACAGAGTGTGTGAGAGCAGAACTCCAAAAGCTTGGAGTGGAGGGGGAAAAAAATCCAAAGTAAAGCTGATAAAAATGCAAGATAAAACCAGAATAAACAGCAGGGGCAGGAATTTGTCTATATTGAACAATRTCTAGAATTGAGACTCAGGTGGTCTGATCTGTATGCTACAGTCAGGGGCTTGGGGACGTGGTGTTTGGGGATGTTTTCGAACTGCAGAATTGCTGTTTTCCCCAAAGCTTTCAATGATTGTATTATTGTTTTTCAGAGCAGCTATGATTGGACTTGCAATCTTACAGATCACACTTAAAAGCTTATTCTGTGAAATAAACCTTCCACTTTAGCAGTAAATTATTACTTTTGATATGTGATAATAACATAGCTTTCCTATTTGAACAGCATTTTTGTTTTTTCCTCCCTGCACAACAACATGACTGCTGTATCCTCTCTTCCCACAAACACCCCRATTTTAAACTAAGTGGCAAAAAGTATAAAAGTTTCTCATTTCAAAAATTCAAACATCTCTTACAAGCCATAGACAATCCCTAAATTTTCAGCACCTTCAATACATTGAATAGAAACACTTTGGAACAAAACACAGTACTGTAGGTGACCTACAAGCATAATTAACTCCTAGGCATTGACTTTCATAGTGCTCATGGTGTYGAGGCCAAGAGCTGTCATAACAAAAGAACTGAAACAAGAAAGTACATTCTAGTCTTCCTGTCACGTTTTAAAAACACAAGCTCCTGAACAAAACATTTTAGCAAACACTGAAGTGAAATAAAGACCAAAGGGCCATCCAAACAATCAACAGCAAAGTACCACAGGACTATAAACAACCTTGAATAGCAAATTATTTTCTTTTTTTATGCCATTAACAATTTCGTCTCTGCAAAGACTGGAAATTGTCTCAGGAAGAAGTGTAACTAGATTTAAAAAAAAAAAAAAAAGGAAAATATTTAGCATGCAATTATTCACATGATTTTGCAAATCACTGTATTATATGTGGTAGGTCTCATGATCTCCAAAAGGAAGCACATAACCAATAAATTAGGATCTAGAAAGAATGGAAGAAGTGACAGGGTTTTCAGTAATAGAATTCCCCAACCCCATCCTCTGGCAGGTACCAASAGAGCAGCTGCAAATGATAGTACAGTATCATGCAGAACAGAAACCAGGCAATAAGCATTAATCAATTTCCACAGAAATCAGAGAGACATTTATGGTGGCACAAACATTTTTGTAAGGAACTCACTAACAAACACTGACTGTGTCAAAGCATGTCCCCACTKCCAACACTGAGCATTAATAGTGTCTCCAGATCTGAGTATCTTACACACCTACCACAGAAAAAGACATTCTAAACTTTCTGATCTAACAGTCTTCCCAAACCAATGGGAAATCTACTGTCCTTGATAGGTCAGAGAACCAAGCTGAGTYTCCTCACTAGCCCTGCAGTTACTCCAAGCCTAAGATGCAACACACAATTTRGAGACCGAGAACAGTCACCTTCTTWAYGAAYKCAAAACTTCCAACACAGCCAATGTTACAAACCTTTCCAAGAACAAGTTTCTAAGCTGCCCACTTGGTGAAYACACAAGGTCACATTTTCTTGCTCTATCCTTGAGCCAGCTGTTGAAAGAGAGGCAAAAATGCCCAGAGTTGTGACATCACAGTAAGAAGCGCTGTTTTCCTGTTCTGGGAGCTCTCCTTCAAAATACAGGGCTCACACAAAAAAAAAAAAAAAAGTAGTGCTGGGCCAGCACTGTTCCAAGGGGAACAGCATCTTGCTGAGCCAGAACTCAGAGGACCTGACTCCCAGAGCAGTGGCTTATTTCTAGCWGATCAGTCCTCCTGGGGCATTAATTTACATTCCATTTCAAAGCAGGAACACCACACAGATTTGAGGCAGAAACATGAGAAACCATAACAATCTACAGTAAAAGATATGATTCCATCTTCTCTGTCCAGTTAAGTGTTTCAAGTAGCAGCAAAAACAGCATTAAAAGCAGGAAAGTTTAATGACTCAAAAGATACCAAATTCAGGGAGAAAAGAAAAAAACCAACAAAAAACCAAAGGATAAAGCTTATTCAACCTTGATTAATTATAGCTTTAATCTTGAAAGTTTTCAGTTTTAGTTTCAGGAGTTCTGGGCGTATAGCCCAAGAAAAAAAAGGAGAGAAGAGATAATTTAGTTATCATACTTTCCCAATCCCTTTCCACTAAACTTACTTCTACTGGGAGAAGTGTCATTTTGCCAGTCAGCCATTGTGTAATAAGCTAAAATGTGCTCTTTCTTTGCCCTGAGAACACAAGTCTTCACAGTTAAAATGGATTATGCCATTTGTGTCCAGCAGGAAGAATGTGGGACCAGTCCACTTACTCACAACACAAGGCAGCATTTATGAGAGCAGTAAACAGAGAGTGATCACATCGAATACCTAGGGGAGACAGACCACAGCAGCAAAGCTCCTTCACCTGACCTGCAGCCTGGGTCTAACCACTGCGGAGGAGGAAAGGCCAGGGAGAAAATTCCTGTGGCCACTTGAGCCAGAGTGAAATGAAGCCTTCCACAGCATCTTTTCCTTACCTGCCCTGCAGCAACGCTGAAGGTGTTTAGATGGGGATGTTCCTTCACAGCGCACAGGTGCCAGGCTGCGGGACAGCCCTTGCTGTCCCCTCCAGCGACCCACACACCGGGGGTGGCAGTCGCCTGTGGGGCCAGGGAGGGATGGGGGAGCCCCCGACCCTTACCTGGGTTGGTTTTCAACCCCACAGGCACATCGCTGCTTCGTGACAGAGCTGTGAAACACAGGCAAGGCAGACACGCGAAGCACACGCAACACACCTGCGCCCCGAAGCGCCACATTCCCAGCAGAGCCAGGGCATTAACACGGGGCTCGGGGCTGTTTTAGGGGACGTTTTCTCCACCGCTCGCCCCGGCAGAGGCGGAGCGGCGCGGCCCTCACGGCGGGGCCGGGAAAGGCTCCCCCGGCTCCAGCCTCGCACCTGGACGGGCGGGGGGCACAGCGCGCTGCCCCGGAGCGCTGAGGAGAGAAAACAGGACGAGAGGGAACGGAGTGCTGAGGAGAGGGAAYRG